GTGGACACACACTCCTGCCCGTGGACACACACTCCTGCCTGTGGACACACACTCCTGCCTGTGAACACACACTCCTGCCTGTGGACACACACTCCTGCCCGTGAACACACACTCCTGCCCATGGACACACACTCCTGCCTGTGGACATACACTCCTGCCTCTGGACAAACACTCATGCCTGTGAACACGCACTCCTGCCTGTGGACACACACTCCTGCCTGTGGACACACACTTCGTCCTGTGGACACACACTCATGCCTGTGGACACACACTCCTGCATGTGGACACACACTCCTGCCTGTGGACACACACTTCGTCCTGTGGACACACACTACTGCCTGTGAACACACACTCCTGCCTGTGAACACACACTCCTGCCTGTGGACACACACTCCTGCCTGTGAACACACACTCCTGCCTGTGAACACACACTGCTGCCTGTGAACACACACTCCTGCATGTGGACACACACTTCGTCCTGTGGACACACACTTCGTCTTGTGACCAGTCTCTGGCATGACGTCATCAGCCTTCGGTAATCATCGGCCATTTGTTTGGGTGTTTCCTTGACTGATTTGTTTTTTGAAGGTTTTTTAAATATTTGCGTGGCCTGAATGTGAGAAAACTTAAATCCTCACGTGCTTCCACAGTCATTACCACTTAGTATGTCTTGAGACCATCATGGTGGGTGTTGGATTTTATTGAATTTTGCTATAAAGTTTGGATTCTCATATTTTACTGGAATACACAAACTGGAAAAAAAATGTAGGACCATTAAAAAAAAAAGTTAAATGTTTTTTCTTGAATGACGCCACCTTCTTCGGTTGGCAGGAACATCCTGCTGGCCTCTAAACACTCTGTGAAGATCGGAGACTTCGGTCTGATGAGGGCGCTGCCGAAAAATAATGAACATTACGTCATGCAGGAGCATCGCAAGGTGCCCTTTGCATGGTAAGGTCAACGCATAAAAACAGATTTGGCTGTTTTATTGATTAGCATTAGAAAATATTATTATTCTTTTGTAGAAACAACAAAATCATGTGCCAGTTGTTTAAAAACAGGGTTACTGGGGTCTCTTTTATTTCTGCTCTGTCAGTCTGAACCAGCTTTTCTTAATGTTGTTATTCTTCCCCTCTTACCCCGTTTGGTTTACTTGTATAAATTACAGAGAACATCTTCATGCAGCTTGCTTCGTGTCGTGTTGCAGGTGCGCTCCGGAGAGTCTGAAGACGAGAACGTTCTCTCACGCCACGGACACATGGATGTTTGGAGTCACTCTCTGGGAGATGTTCACACATGGACAGGAGCCGTGGCTGGGCCTGAACGGTAGCCAGGTTAGCAAACAAACAATGTGCACAGAGACAGAAATGTCTCCTACAAAAGTTTCTGTTAACTTTGGTCTTTTTCCGTTTTGCGTGAATCCAAACCAGATTCTTCATAAAGTTGATAAAGAAGGACAACGACTCCCCAAGCCAGAGGACTGTCCCCAGGCTGTCTATAATGTCATGTTGCAGTGCTGGGCTCAGAAACCAGATGACAGACCCACCTTTGTCGCTCTCCGTCAGTTCCTCCTCGAGGTGAGTGTTTAACTCAGCAGAAACGTCATTCTGACGTGGTTAGTTTGTTTGTCGCCGAGCTTCATGCTTGGACGCTTTATATATTTTATCTGCTGAGGAACCTGTGGTAATGTCTCGAAAACAAAAAGTGCTGCCATCTTTAACACCTTTTGAGCTGAGCTCAGGTTAGTCGCTGGCTCCATCTTGTGTGGTTTCTTTGTTAAATCGTACCATCCTGTTTGTTTTCAGTTCATGCCCACAGACATGTGTGCGCTGCAGGACTTTATTGAGCCCGACAAACTCCAGATCCAAACAGACGACATCATCACCATCATAGAGGGAAGGTGGGTGAAGGCTGGTTCTGTTCACCACAACATGGAGTAGACAGGAAGTGCTCACGATCACACTGCAGGTAATAATGTCCTGAGAGCGCAGCTACGGCATGCACTCTCAGGACACTATTACCTGAAGTGTTCACTCAATGAGGACTGAACTAGGCAAGAGGACCTTCGCCTACTCCACTCCTGTTTCCTGGAATACCTTACAAAAACATTTGAAGCTCTCGACCTTGACCTCTCTAAGCGGCTTTAAGAATCTGTTGGACTCCTGGCAGGGACCAATGCAGACATGTTCCTGTTTTTGTTTTCTACATTCGCCTTAGAATCTAGCTGTTTTTTTGTTACCTTTTTCTTTTAGCCATCCTATTTGTTTAAAAAAAAAAAAAAAAAAAAAAAAAACTGGAGTATGACTTTTTATAACTGTTAATTGTTGTCACTCTTGTCCATTGTTGTCATCGTTCTTTGTTGAAATCAGGTCTCTCTTGTAAATGAGTCCTCGAGGCTCAATGGGATTCATCCATCCATCCATTTTCTTCCGCTTATCCGGGGTCGGGTCGCAGGTGTAGCAGCTTAAGTAAGGAGGCCCAGACTTCCCTCTCCCCAGCCACTTGGGCCAGCTCTTCCTGGGGAATCCTGAGGCGTTCCCAGGCCAGCCAAGAAACATAGTCCCTCCAGCGTGTCCTGGGTCTTCCTCTGGGCCTCCTTCCGGTGGAACGTGTCCGGAACACCTCACCAGGGAGGCATCCAGGAGGCATCCTAAACAGATGCCCAAGCCACCTCAACTGGCTCCTCTCGATGTGGAGAAGCAGCGGCTCTACCCTGAGTCCCTCCTGGATGATCGAGCTTCTCACCCTATCTCTAAGGGAGAGCCCAGACACCCTGCGGAGAAAACTCATTTCGGCCGCTTGTATCCGAGATCTAATTTGTTCGGTCACAACCCAAAGCTCATGACCATAGATGAGGGTTGGAACGTAGATCGATGGGTAAATTGAGAGCTTCGCCTTTTGACTCAGCTCTCTCTTCACCACGACTGATCTGATGAAGCCAATAAGACCACATCATCTGCAAAAAGCAGAGACGCAATCCTAAGGCCACCAAAACAGATCCCCTCAACACCTTGGCTGCGCCTATAAATTCTGTCCATAAAAGTTATGAACAGAATCGGTGACAAAGGGCAACCTTGGCAGAGTCCAACTCTCACCGGGAACAAGCCTGATTTACTGCCGGCGATGCGGACCAGGCTCTGACACCGGTCATACAGGGACCTAACAGCCCATATCAAAGAGCCCGGTACCCCATACTCCCAGACTATCCCCCACAGGGTTCACCGAGGGACGCAGTCGAATGCCTTCTCCAAGTCCACAAAGCCGGTTGGGCAAACTCCCACGCACCCTCCAGGACCCTGCTGAGAGTGTAGAGCTGGTCCAGTGTTCCACGGCCAGGACAAAAACCGCACTGCTCCTCCTGAATCCGAGGCTCGACTATCTGACGGACCCTCCTCTCCAGAACCCCCGAATAGACCTTACCAGGGAGGCTTAAGAGCATGATTCCCCTGTAGTTGGAACACACTCTACGGTCCCCCTTTTTGAATAGGGGGACCACCACCCCGGTCTGCCAATCCAGGGGAACTTCCCCCGATGTCCACGCAATATTGCAGAGTCGCGTAAGCCAACCCAACCCTACAACATCCAGAGCCTTAAGGAACTCCGGGCAAATCTCATCCACCCCTGGAGCCCTGCCACCGAGGAGCTTTTTAACCACCTCGGTGACCTCAGCACCAGAGATTGGAGGGCCCGAACCAGAGTCCCCAGGCTCCGCTTCCTCAGTGGAAGACATGCCGGTGGGATTGAGGAGGTCTTCAAAGTATTCCGCCCACCGACCCACAACATCCCAAGTTGAGGTCAGCAGCACACCACTCCCACTATAAACAGTGTTGGTGGCGTACCGCTTTCCCCCCCTGAGACGCTGGATGGTGGACCAGAATCGCCTCGAAGCCGTGCGGAAGTCATTCTCCATGGCCTTTCCGAACTCTTCCCATGCCTGAGTTTTTGTCTCAGCAACCACCCGAGCCGCATGTTGCTTGGACTGCCGGTACCCATCAGCTGCTTCCGGGGTCCCACAGGCCAAAAAGACCCGATAGGACTCCTTCTTCAGCCTGACAGCATCCCTCGCCGACAGTGTCTACCATCGGGTTCGAGGGTTGCTGCCACGACAGGCACCGACAACCTTGCGGCCGCAGCTCCGGTAAGCTGCCTTGACAATAGAGGCATGAAACATGGTCCACTCAGACTCAATGTCCCCCACCTCCCTCGGAACATGTTCAAAGTTCTCCCGGAGGTGGGAGTTAAAACTCCATCTCACAGGAGACTCTGCCAGATGTTCCCAGCAAACCCTCACAATACGTTTGGGTCTGCCAGGTCTGACCGGCATCCTCTCCCACCATCGGAGCCAACTCACCACCAGGTAGTGATCAGTGGACAGCTCCACCCCTCTCTTCACCCGAGTGTCCAAGACATGTGGCCGCAGATCAGATGAGACGATGACAAAGTCGATCATCGAACTGCGGCCTAGGGTGTCCTGGTGCCAAGAGCACATATGGACACCCTTATGCTTGATCAAGGTGTTCGTTATTGACAATCCATGACGAGCACAGAAGTCCAACAACAGAACACCACTCGGGTTCAGATCGGGGGGCCGTTCCTCCCAACCACACCCCTCCAGGTCTCACTGTCTTTGCCCACATGAGCATTGAAGTCCCCCAGCAGAACAAGGGAGTCCCCAGGAGGTGCACTTTCCAGTACCCCCTCCAAGGACTCCAAAAAGGGTGGATAATCTGAACTGCCGTTTGGTGCATAAGCACAAACGACAGTCAGAACCCGTCCCCCCACACGTAGGCGGAGGGAGGCCACTCTCTCATTCACCGGGGTGAACCCCAACATACAGGTACCAAGTTGGGGGGCAATAAGTATGCCCACTCCTGCTCGGTGCCTCTCACCAGGGGCAACTCCAGAGTGGAAGAGTGTCCAGCCCCTCCCAAGGAAACTGGTTCCAGAGCCAGAGCCATGCGTAGAGGTGAATCCGACTATTTCTAGCCGGAACCTCTCAGCCTCACACACCAGCTCAGGCTCCTTCCCCACCAGTGAGGTGACATTCCACGTCCCAATAGCCAGCTTCTGTAGCCGAGGATCAGACCACCAGGGTCCCCGCCCTCGGCCACCACCCATCCCACATTGCACCCGACCGCTTTGGCCCCTCCCACAGGTGGTGAGCCCATGGAAAGGGGGACCCACGTCTCCTCTTCGGGCTGTGCCCGGCCGAGCTCCATGGGTAAAAGCCCGGCCACCAGGCGCTCGCCCGCGTGCCCCACCTCCAGGCCTGGCTCCAGAGTGGGGCCCCGGTGACCCACGTCCAGGCAAGGGAACATTAAGTCCATTTATTTTTCTCTTCATCGGGGTCTTTGGGCTGCACTTTGTCTGGTCCCTCACCTAGGACCTGTCTGCCATGGGTGACCCTACTAGGGGCGTAAAGCCCCTGACAGCATAGCTCCTAGGGTCATTGGGACACTCAAACCCCTCCACCACAGTAAGGTGGCAGCCCAGGGAGGGACTCAATGGGATTTACCTGTCTAAATAAAGGTTGAATGATCAGCCAGATCACAAACATGATGCTACCTGCTGACTTTAAAGAGATTTGTGAATGTGAGGTGTAAACCTCCAAATCATGACTTTTTTACAGGACTTAAAACTAAAAGAACTGATAACTAAAGTTTGTACCATCAGTTCAACATTGCACTTATTAACCTGTTCCTTTGACAAGCGTCACCTTCAGTCACCTCAGAAGATATTCAGATCCTCTTTTTTAATGTTTTTTTTTCTGTACTCAGATTCTGTTGAGGATATCACTGTACATTAATTTGTTTTTAATTCTGACACATGTCATTACCTGTTGCTGAAAACCTCCTCCATAGCATGATGCTGCCACCACCGTGCTTACTACAACCCAGTTATTTCCAGACAATGGTGTTTAGAACTGAAGACGGAGAGGTCCATGATGGAACACAACAGTTAGCATCTTATATTACTCTATTTTTCACCGTACACGTCGCACCGCCCTATAAGTTGCATCAGTCCATATTTGTCTAATAAAGTGGAAAAATCCATAAATATGTCACTTCGCTGTATACGTCACATTTGTTATGCGTCACCGCTGACAACCCGGTGGAAATGTGGACCGGTGTTGTGCCAAAAATCTGGACAAAGGTGGCAGACTATGGCAAGCCGACTGTGTCATTAATAGCTAATTTTACCCATTACATGACACAACATACTGCTTGAGTGCCATCTAGTGGCTGAAAATGGTAGTGTTTAATATTTTCAGTCAGAATGAGTGAAAATGGTCCTATCTCAGCCAAAAATTGATTTATAAATATGGGAAAATACATAAATACGTTGCGTCGACATATAAGTTGCAGGGCATGCAAATTATGCAAAAAAAAACGTGACTTATAGGCTGAAAAATATGGTAATTAACCGTAAGCCTATCTTGCAACAGCCTACATAACAGAAGAGCTTTCAGAGATGACACAGCTGCAGACCTTTATCTGTTGCTCCTTTCTCCTCTTCTTCATAAACTGGACACCTGATGGATTTGCACCCTGCATCTGGTGGAGGGCACCCACTCCCTGCAAGTGGACAATATGAAACCGATACCTAGGCTCTACAGGCTGTATGAAATGAGTTTTATTTATTTGAGGGGGAGGGCGGGGGTGTGTCCGGGTGCTCTTGCCACCCTTGACCAGATGCTGCCCTGGGCAGCTGCCTATAGCCCATATCAGAAACCACCACTGCTCATATTTAACACCTCCATGTGTTTCAGAGCTGAGAACTACTGGTGGCGTGGTCAGAACAAGCGTACCCTGAAGGTGGGTCAGTTCCCCAGGAATGTGGTGACGTCTGTGGCAGGGCTGTCAGCGCATGACATCAGCAGGCCTCTGAAGAACAGCTTCATCCACACGGGTCACGGAGATGCAAACCCTCAGCGCTGCTGGGGCTTCCCACACAGAATCGACGAGTAAGACACAGACTTATCAAGGTTTAGTGTGAACTAAAGAATCATTTGGGCCTAAAAACACCAGCATATGTTGCAGACACATGTAGGAGATGTTTAAAAAAGTGTTGATGTAGTTGTCATCATTCACCAACAAATGGCGCTAGCATGCAGTTAAATGAACTATTCCTTGTAACATGAAGTCATCAGACTGATGTTTGCTGTTCTTGTCTTTCAGTTTATACCTCAGGAACCCCATGGATCCTCCTGATGTTCTGGGTTTTGAACGCTGTTCTACCCGGCCCACACAGCTTCCAGGACAAGCTAAAAGTGGGTTAAAGTTGTCTTTCTGTTTGTGTTTACCCGGACAGTAACTGTCAGATTTTATTTAGTCATTTAGTCCTTCAATTAAAAGAAACAAAAGAAATGAAACAAATTCATAAAAAAAAAAAAAAAAAAAAAAAAAAAAAAAAAAAAAAAGCAACAATGAATGAAAAGGAGCAGAAAGAAGAAGAAAATTCTTATATCTGCCCCTTATTTAAAAAAATATAAAATAAAAAAACCACTCAGGCTTGAACAATCACCAAAGCAAAAACAAAAACATCAGGCGTTCTTCACATGGTATCAGACTTTACTAACAATTTCAACTTAATCATCTTTTTAAACATATCAATTGTTTTAGAAATGTTACAGTGATATCAAGTCAATTGAACAAATCATATTCCCTGAATTACAATGCAGCTCCTTCAGACTAGTTCTAACTGGAGGTTTTACAAACATTTCTATTCCCTTAAGGTTATAATGATTCTCCTTTTTTAAACAAATTTTAATTGAATATTTGGGGATAATATTTTTATGAGCTTTATATATGACTTGTAAAATACGATATTCAACCAAATCATAAAATTTTAACAATTTCAACTGATGAAATAATATATTTGTTGGGTGATCATAGCACTTCATACTAATAATTCTTGTAGCTCTTTTTTGTAAAATAAAAATAGGATTTGTAATTGTTTTGCATGCTTCCCCCAAACTTCAGTACTATAGATTAAATATGGAACAATCCTTACATTATAAAATATATACAAAGCTTTGTCATTCAAAAACTATTTTACTTTATACATTAATGAAATTGATTTGGTTGTTTTTACTCTTAAGTAATTTACATGAGATTTCCATGTCAGCTTCTCATCAATAATAACCAAAATTTTTATTTAACTCTATGAATTTCAGTTCTGTCAATTTTAAATGGGACTTGGATAATTTTATTTTCATTACTAAATATCATGTAGTTTGTTTTTTCTAAATTTAATAACTTATTAAGTTGGAACCAAGTTTGTATTTTTACGAATTCGACCTGTATCATCTCTAACATCCGTTCAATATCTTCTCCTGAACAAAAAAATTTATCATCTGCAAATAAAACACACTTCAAAAGCCCTGACACATCAACCAGATCATTCACATACATAATAAACACCTTTGTTCCCAACACAGAGCCTTGAGGGACTCCACATCCATTAACACAAAATTCATACCTTACATCATTTATGTGTACAAACTGTGTCCTATTATTCAAATAAACGGATACCCACTGTAGTGCTAATCCTCTAATGCCATATTTATTCAGTTTTTCAAGGAGAATGGTGTGATCAATATTGTCGACGGCCTTTTTTAAATCAACAAAAACACTAACACAATACTGTTTTTGATCAACAGCTGTTATCTCTTCTATTAGTTCCATGAGAGCCATTGATGTTGAATTGTTTGTTCTAAACCCATAGTATTACTTCAAATATTCTGTTTATCTATAAATCTATCTAATCTGGTTACAAACAATTTCTCTAATATTTTTGAAAATTGTGGCAACAAGGACTGTAATTAATGAACACACATTTCTCATCATTCTTATAAAGAGGAACTCTCTTTGCTATTTTCATCCATCCATCCATCCATTATCTTTTACCCGCTTCTTCCATTTTGGGTCACGGGGGTCATCGGTGCCCATGTCCAGCAATCACTGTGTGAGGTGCGGGGTACACCCTGGACAGGTCTCCAGTCCATCACAGGGACACATAGAGACAAACAAGACAAACAACCATTCACTCTCTCACTCACACCTAGAGACAATTTAGAGTTACCAATCAGCCTAACATGCATGTTTTTGGTCTTTGGGAGGAAACCGGAGTACCCGGAAAAAACCCATGCATGCACGGAGAGAACATGCAAACTCCACCCAGAAAGGCCCCCGGACCGGGGTTTGAACCAGGGACCTGCTCGCTGAGAGGCAGCAGCTCTACCAGTTGCGCCACCGTGCTGCCCATTGATAAATTACATATTTATGTAAATGGTTCAATAACATAACTCATTATATCCTTTACAAACATCATGTCCATCCAGTCTTTTGAACTTTTATCTGCAAGATTTTTCACAACACTCAGTATTTATTCTTTATCAGTGTCACCAAGAAAAATGCTGTTGGCACAACCCATGACTGTATGACTCACATCATTATTTACATTTGGTATTTTAGCTGCAAGACTTGGGCCAACATTCACATAATATTCATTGAATTCATTTACTATTTCATTTTGGTCGTAGATTTTCTTGTCATCTTTTACAAAATACTGTGAAATACCTGATCGTACTTTAGGATTTTTCAAAACACTATTCATTACTCCCCATGTTACTTTCATATCACCCTTGCTTTTGTAAGTCACTATAATATCCCTTCTTATGTTTTTATGTTAATGAGATTTTATTATTTAAAAATGATTCACTATGACAATAAAACGACCCCATTTGCTCCTTTTCTGTTGCGGGTAACCTTCACCATGATCGCACTCGAAACAAAAGACTGTGTGGTCCAGTTTGAAGGTTTTAACAGTGAAAATGTTTCTCCTGTTTTTCTTAACGAACCGTTAAAAAGCGTTCGGACATTTATTTGTTTCCTTCTTATTATCACAGTTTTTGCTGCTACCAGTTTTCTGTCTTTTGTGTTCTTGCAGAGGAGCCTCCTCCTCGCCCTCCTCAGCCTGCAGCGTTATTCAGGAGTAAGTCTGGTTTCTCTGAGCACCTCCCCTCCTTCCTGCCCTCTCTCTTCACATTGTGCATGTCTTCATCTCGCTTTTTCGCAGTTGCGCTGCATGCGCTGCATGCGCTTCATTTTTCTTGAAATCATTTTGACTTCTCTACCTCTCCTGGCAGTTGTGCAGTGTATTTGCTTTACAGTGTTTGTTTTTTTGGCGTGACATTGAATGTTTCTCCTAAATATGGTATAAATTATAATTCTAAAAAGAAAACAAGATTAATGGAGTTAGACAAGGAAAAAAAAACTAGTTTTAAAATATACTTTCCAAACTTTTGTATTTCCTAGACTCGTTTCTAGATAAATCCCAGACCCTTTATTAATAAGTCCATTCTTAGAAAACAGTTATCCACCAAACGTCAGTGTAAGAAGAATCCGAGGTCAAAGATGACCCTGATAGAGTTGACCAGCTCTTCGACAGAGATGGGACTGTCTGTCTGACAGTTTATGAAGAAGGTGTCGGGATCAGAGGAGACAAGACTTGAACCTTCTGACCGTCAAGGTTAACATCCTTCATCATACTGGGAACACTGTCCTCAGTGTAGCATGGTGGTGGCAACATCATACAACATCATCAGAGACTAGAAACAGGTCAGAGTTAAAGAAACAATGAAAAAGAATGTAGAAGAGTCTGAGGAAAACTGTTTGAGTCTTCCATGGAGTTGAGACTGGGACGAAGGTTCACTGTCCGGCAGAACGTTGACTGCCAACACCCGACTGAAGAACACGCAGAGTTAGATGTTAATCCAATGTAGAATCTCTGGTTTAATTAAAAACTTGTTGGACACGAGCAGTGCCTGATTTGAAGGAGCTGTGGCTGTCTGATCATGAAGAACGGACTAAAGGTCCAGCAGTCGGTTCTACAAAGTTTATGGAGGAGAACCTGAAAAGACTCTCTGCTTGGAAGTATTAACTCTGTGTTTGCCTGCAGACTGTTGGTGGGACACTGCACGTCTTGTGTTTGTGGTGATCTTTAGGACAACATGATGTCTTTACGCTTGAAAGCTGTTATCATGAAGTAACGAGCGTCTCGCTTCTCCTTCAACAGAACATTGCTATGATCCAGTCAGTGAAGATGATCTGTCCTCTGCAGCACTTAAGAGACTGTCGCTGAGAAAAAACAGCTCACTCAAAAGCCTGAAACTTAAACCGTGTGTCCCTGGTTCTAAACTGGGGGCTAGCAGGACTTCTAGACCCTCCCCCAGCAGTGAAGGGTTGCTAATTGACTTTGATGAAGAAGTCCCCTCAGCCTCACTCCTTCCCTCCCCTGTGGTTGAAAATCAGAGTCCTCTGCTGGCCAAGCTAGCTGTGGAAGCACAAAACATCCTGGACAAGACCCCCCCTCAAAGCCCATTTACAGGGCTGCCTCGACCCCTCCACCCCACTCCTGTAGTGGACTGGGACACACGACCATTGCCACCACCCCCTGCCTACGATGATGTAGCCCAAGATGAAGATGATATGGAGGTAAGGTACCCCCACACTTCATGCTAGAAATGATTTTAGTTCTGTCTCTGAAACCTAAAGAACTCCTCGATCTTCTGCCCCCACCAAGGTGAGCTCCATCAACGGTTCCAAGCAGCAGCTTGAAGATGAAACAAGTCACGTCCGTGGTGTTGATGGAGCTCTCTCTTCAGGACACAAGATGGAGGGGGAAACCTTCATCTCAAGGGGGACAGACAGGCCAGTTCTCAAGGACAACCTTGTTCTTCCAAGTGAGCACAATCGAGACGTGTCCACCTCGTTCTCCCAGTCTGTGGAAATCTTTCAAGAGCTCCAGCAAGAGTGCATGAGGAGGCTCAATACCTCCACAGGAAGAGCTCATCGATCCTCACCAGCCCAGATCTCAACACCAAGACCTCAGGTGTTTCAGAATTCACAGGACGAGCAGCAGAGGTCCTTCTCCACCAGTGAGGACAAACCTCAGATCCCCCCACGTGTCCCCATTCCCCCTCGCCCCATAAAGAGGACTGACCACACATCTGCCCAGTGGTCCAGGAACCTTTCTCTTTCTCTAATACCAGCTGAAACCAAAGAAACTCTTTCAGTCCTGAGTGGACCACCTCAGATACCTGCCAGGGACCTTTTGTCTCAGCCAGGATCCAGAACTCCAAGTCCTATTTGTCAACTGGGCTCCACTCAACAGAGGCCCTGCTCTGCCAGCCCTACCCTGCAGGTGTCACCTGTCCCCTGCCCCTCTGCACACATTCACAGCTCCTACCTCTCCACCTCTCCAGGTAGACCCATGTTCACCACGCACAGCTTTGCCTCAGACCCTAAATATACTGCACACAAAATGATCCAGGAGCAGGAGAACATCTCTGGCAGCAAAGGTCCGTGCATCCTGCCCATCGTCTGTGACGGGCAGAAAGTCAGTAACACTCATTACTACCTTCTGCCAGAGAGGCCTCCTTATCTTGATCGACTTGAGCATTTCTTCAGGGAGCCAAAGAGCCTCTCCACCTCTGATGCAGAGGAGAAACACGTACGACAGGCTAACATGGCCACGGTAAGACCAATAGTAGTCAACACCCAACCAGTCCAGAAACCTGGGCTAGTCCAGCTGGGGGAGCTGAAAGCCAACTTTTCCTCAAATAATAACATCAGTCTGAGTGGACCCTGGTCAGGACTGAAGACATCAGTGAGTCTCCCTCGTGTGTGTTCAGACGGGTGGACAACATCGGAGGTCACCACTTCCTGTCCCACGACAGACAATGGAGGACAGTCCCTGGACACAGTCAAAATGGTACGTTTAGTTTGTTGGATGACCTGTTTCATCCTGTTACTAACACACAGCTGTTGTTGTTTACAAAAGGTGCTGGAAGACGAGACTTGTTCCAGTTAAGGTTCGGTTTATTAATCGTGTCGTCTTTAATGCTTCAGGGATTCATTTTTGTAGGTTGGGTCAAAGGTACTGATCTTACCCCTCCTAAGGTGAACACATGAGCGTTGAGTCCTCTTCTCATGTAACAATCTTAATTATCAGTAATCAATTGAGTTTTACTAATTAAAGAAATGAAAAGACTTAAAATGACTTGTTTTAATGAAACTAATGTTCCTTGAAGACGTTCAACAGGTCAGAGCTCAGAGACTGTGTTGGGGATTACTCTCAGCTACTGCTACATGTAACTTTAGCTCAGCACCTGTAAAACTGACTGGGGTCAAGTCCTTTTATGTTATGGTTCATTAGCTCTGGTGGCCATCTTGAATCAGGTTGAGTCCAGAAGTTAATCAGTTGTAGAGGTCCATCCTGGAACTAACTATAGATGTTGACGTGTTCTGAAGGAGAGATATGTGATTATGATGTTCAGTGCCAGGAGGGCTGTGATCATCCATCCATCCATCCATTCATGCATCCATCCATCCATCCATTCATGCATCCATCCATCCATCCATCCATTCATGCATCCATCCATCCATCCATTCATGCATCCATCCATCTGTCCATCCATCCATCCATCCATCCATCCATCCATCCATCCATCCATCCATCCATCCATCCATCCGTCCGTCTGTCCGTCCGTCCGTCCGTCCGTCCGTCCGTCCGTCCGTCCGTCCGTCCATCCATTCATGTATCCATCCAATATCTTTACCAGCTTCTTCCTTTTCGGGTTGCAGGGTCACTGGTGCCCATATCCAGCAGTCACTGTGCGAGAGGCATGGGGCACCCTGGACAAGTCTCCAGTCCATCACAGGGACACATAGAGACAAACAACCATTCACTCTCTCACTCTCACCTAGAGACAAAGAGTTACCAATCAGTCTAACATGCATGTTTTTGGTCTGTGGGAGGAAACTGGAGTACCCGGAGAAAACCACACAGCACAGAGAGAACATGCAAACTCCACCCAGATACTTCGAGGAAACTAAACAGCCAATGGCCAAAAGGATGGACCAGCACAGAAGATCAACATCATCAGGCCAGGACTCTGCGGTCTACACTCATCTCCAGGCCAGCGGTCACTCTTTCAAGGATGAAGATGTTCACATTGAAATTGTCCATCACATAAAGAAATCGTCCATCATTAAACAGGGGTGGAGGCCTCCAGGTTCAACTGTCCCCCTCTTACAATGCTGTGATTGCTAGTATCACTCAGCCTCCAGTGAATAGCAAACAGCCATCAGAGCACTAATGATCCATTGTTAGGCTGATGGTCCTTCTTGATCATGTGAGCAGCTGGTTTTGGTTGTCAGCAGCAAACTGGTTGATCCACTCTGAGAAGGTGCTATTTATAAAACTGAGTTTGTTGCAGCTCCTCAGACTGAAGAAGTATTTTGGATAAAAGATGAAACGTTTCAACAATTTTTTGTAATCCATCCAGCGGACCTGACTTTACTTTGTTAGGGAGTGTGATCCATTTGAAGTTAGATATGTCTTCTTTTCTGCTCTAATCTTTATTTGCTGGACTCATCTAAAATTTACTTTAAGTGTAAAACACTGTAACGTGCACTGTTTCCTCCACTTCAAAGCCTGAAAATAGTCAGTTTTTGTATAAACAAAAATAAAGCCCACAATTTTTTGAGTAAAATGTTTGATTTCTTTATAATTCTGACCCAAACTGAGTGGGACAGAGCTGACAGAGGCCTGACGGCTGCCCATGGATCAGCTCTTTGCTGTAGATCCAGAGATGTTCGCTCAAACTCAAGCAGTTGTAAGATCTGGAGTCATTTATCAACTTATGGACGTGCTTTTGTTTGGTTGTTTGGACATATGGTCTCACTGCACAACAAAAAAAACAAACATTGTTGTTGTTTTTTTTATTTGAACAAAACAATTCATTTTACTGAGACAAAGAGCTGCTCTGCTCCTGATCGCTCACTTTGAAGCAGCTTCCCACTGAAGCTAATTAATCGACTCAATGGATCATGTGTGGTTTGTAGGTGCAGGAAGCCGTTCATGCTGCAACAATAGAGGAGTGTCGAGCTGCTCTCCAAAACCAAAACTGGAACGTCCACAAAGCTGTGATTTATCTGAAGGTGAGCACAGTTTTACTGGTTTCATGGAAACATGACGTTATGTTCAGATCTTTATTGGTTGTGTTGTATTTGCAACAACATTCACACAAGCTCATCTTAATGACAATACATGCTTGTTATCAATATTGTGCAACCCTGTACATTTAGTTTTCTTGCAGGGACGCCTCAAAATGTCAAAACAAGCGAACACAATGTTCTTTTAACACAATGTTAGATTAATCAGTATAATATCAAAATAAGGTGTAAGATCATATCTTTTAATTTTAATTTAGCTCAAAATAATTTTTCTCATCATCTTGTTTTGTACTCTTCAGATATTTGGATAAACGTTTTATAATTTTGAATTGCTTTAAAAAAAAATTCTTATTGATCCAGGCCATGCTACCATCTTTCCTCATCCTAGTTCTTAACGACGCAGGTCTGGACAATATCAGAGGCAAAGGGAGACAATTAGCCACGCCCACATTTAGACTTTAAGTGCCAAGTTTTATGATGCTCGACCCACCAGAACAAAACAAACGCCTCCTGTTTGCAGAAAACAAATAAAAATGAAATAGATAAAATAAATACTTTGTAATTATAAAAGTATGCAACTGTTTAAATTCTTCAATGTGAAGGAAAGTAAACAGACAAAATACTGTGACTTGCTACAAAGTTTAACACAGTAGAAAGACACATTGACATAGTCTTTTTCAATGAGCTAATCCTAAACAAACAAACAAACAAACAAACAAACAAACAGTTTCATGATTCTCTGCTCTGATTGGCTGCCACTTGTTTTTATTGTTTATCAAATTGTTCTGAAAATGATCCCAAACGTCTCATTTGCCTCCATCAAACTCATAGAAGCGTTGTCTGCTGTAGTCAGAACAGTTGTGTGTTTGTTATTGGCCTTGAGGGCCATCAGGGAGGACTGTTGGGGTCTCTGGATTTTCAGCTCGTCACGTATCGAAAACTCCTGAAGTAATTCTGAAAGAACAAACTGGTAAATAAAAACACGTCTGCGTGTCTTAAAGTCTCGAAGTAACTCATCTCAGAGACAGACACAACATCCCAGCTCAGACCTCGAGAGATTTTCTCTGTTTTACTGCAGGACAGAACAGCTGAAAGGACATCAAGAGCTGATCAATGGAACTGCTAGAAGCTCATTTCCAGTCTGTTGATAGTCACAGAACAGATCAGACACTGGTACCACTCTGAATGAGTTAAAAACATCCCAGCTCTTTGGAGGCCTTTTATAGACATAAATGTGTTGGGTGGTGTTTGAATTGACTGCTGCAGGATGAGGTGTGTTAATAAAACAGCAGGGAGCTCTTCAGTGTTCGGAGAGGGAAGGAAACAACCGGAGAGCCCAGGTTTGATCCAAACAGCTCTTCCAACCTTCTGCTCACCGTCATTCTTCACCAGTGCTTCATTTGTAAAACAAACTGCAGGAAAACTAATAGCTGTGTGAGACCAAGGTTCACTGAGGCCAACACTGATACTGGAACACACACACAACACAACACTTAGGAGGACAAACAATTCACATTTATTATTTACTTTTTAACACTTTATGTGTGATTTATAAATGAAGTTTATTAAATCTTACCGTACCAGTTGTTTAGCGCGCACCACTTCTCTCACTCATCCTAACACCTCCCTCCCCCCAGCTCCTGCAGATAAGGGGCGTTCAGTTCAGGACAAATTCAGATCTCTGATTGGTCAGTTGCTGACAAGCCTAATGGATTGATTGACAGGTGACATTAAAGATCCGACTCGTGCAAAAAAAAAAACATCGATTTTACTGGCCCGTTTGTGTCATTTATTCCATATTTATACTGAATTTATTCAATATTTTGGTGAATCTAAGGTTTGAGAACTGAGCTTCCTTACATAACTTTATTATTATTAAGCCTGAGAGTTACCGGATCCAAGCCAACCATTACCGGAACACATCCTGTCAAAATAAGAGAGTTCCCAGATCCTGTTCCGGCAGGATCCGGCTCAAATTAAGCCCCACAGTCTTCACCAACATGGAGTGTGATTAGTTTTCTGTGTCCCTGCAGGTGGAGCAGTTGTTCTGTTTGGGTCTGAGGAGCCGTTCCGAGTGTTTGAAGCTACTGGAGACGTGTGACTGGGATCTGGAGCTGGCCAGCTCTCAGATGTTCGATGATTCTGGATCCACAACAAAACAAAGGTACTGAAGTGTGAAGAGTTCCTGGAAGTCTCACGCTCTCTTTCCTGGTTAGTTTGAGAAATAATATCTGCTGTATTCACACAACGACCCGACTCTTTAACCCTTTAACCTCTTTGCGTTTATTTATTTTGGTTCAGTCAATAAACATTATTTTTTTGACAAAGCCTAAAAATCCTTCTTCATTTTGTCAGATTTTTTTTTACAAACGCCCCATAAATCACAGTAATCTTTCCACACACATATTACTTGGGGGGGAACCGACCACAGGGAAAATCCATTATAAATAAGTTTTGATCCCATATTTGTCATATAAAATAATGCATTGTTCTCAGTGAAGTTTTTCCTTTATTTTATTTCTTCTATGCTTTCCATTTTTACATTCGCTCACTAGGTGGTGCTCAACTTTTACATATGAGAGCCTCTGTACAAATGTACCTGAGAATATTTCACATGAAGAGGTTTGTCTTTCCCGACTGGACCTCACCTCTCATCTCATCCGACAAAATGGCTTTAGTGTTGATGTAAAGAGCAAAATATATATTTGTAATGTGCACAAGTAAACATTTAGAACAAAAAAGTTGTTCCACATGCATGCAGGCTGCAGCATCAGCCGATCAGACCGACTGACTGCCCCAGCTGCTAATATTTCTGGGTCAGTACAAACAAAAAGTGGAGCAGAACCTGGTGCTGTGGATGAGTACAGTTAAAAAAAAAACATGTCCGACTGCCAAGAGACAGGAAAGAGTTTGACTGAAAACAAGGCCTAGCTTTCAGACCCTGGATCTGAAGGACCTGGTGGGCCGGAGGGTCTTCACAAAACGTTGGACAGGAATTTTTAAAGAATTGTCAGAAATAACTAAATAAATACATATTGGTAATAATAATAATAATAATAATAATAATAATAATAATAATAATGATGATAAACATTTAGAGTGTAATAATGGGGGGAAAATGCCTTTAATTGAAAAACTGTAACTATTTTGTTAATTTTTAAATAAACTAAAGCGTGGATGCTTATTAAACTAAAGACTCTTAAAGTCTTCTAATAAAATAATAAAAAAGAAGTTAAATTTGATGTTTTTAATTCAGGCTGAGATATCTCTAAAAGACTGAGTATTGTGGGGAAAAAATCACAAAAAACATTTTTCCCTGGACCAACAACATCAAAATGTGGGTGGGAAAGGTAAACCACCCACACCTGCCTCCACCCTCATTTACCCAACTCTGGGCCCTTGAGCCAGGCCCTTAACCCCCACCATCTGCTCCCATGGGTGCCCTAGACAGCAGCTCTCTGCTCCACACAGAGGGCTGTGGTAGCTCCTGGTCTGTGGTTGCATCAGGAAGAACATCCGGTGTAAAAACAATCACCAAGTCTTCGTGTGAGTTAGTTCACTGTAGCGACCGCTGAAGAAGGAGCAGCCGAAAGAAAAAAAGTTATTTTAAATAGTTACATAAGGCGGTAAAGAACAGTGATGGTCAGACAGTTTAAGGGAATTCTGACTCTTTAACTTCCACTGCAGTCAGATTAAACCTGATGTTTGTGATGTCACTTAAATATCTGAACTGACTCCATCCATCTGGATGACACGTCGCCTTCATTTGTGCTTAAAATGAGCGTCCTGGTTGAGCTGCTGGAGGTTTCCGTCGTGCTTTTCTTCTTGCGGAGCGTCGGCGTGCAGCAGAATGATGCAGCGGCTGTTAACGAGGCTCAGTCTGGTTCTGGCTGCTGCACTCACCACCTTGTTATACTTTGAATATATTCTGATAATCCCAATGGGGACATTTATTCTCTGCATTTTTCCTGTTGCTCATGTGGAGCAGAGGGCTGCCATCTGACGCTCCCATGGAAGCAGCTGCGGATAAGTGCCTTGCTCAAGGGCCAACAGATGTGGGTGCTTCACCTTTCCCACCTCAGTGTTTTTCTGCCGCTCTGAGGATTTGAACCTCCGACTTCCTGATCACAGGCTCACCTGGATTTAAAATCCAGTTTTGAGAACGCTGCTGGTGCTCCAGATGTAAAACCCTTCCTGTGGATAAAACGTGTCGCCTGAAACGAGCAACAAGTCGTTAAAGACAGAACGACTGATCAGCTGCTCTCATGTAGCTCTCTCTAACCTGAATCTGTTCTGATGTCTGCAGATGGAGACAGGAAGCTGAGAGCGGAGCGTTCTGATTGGACCATCAGCAAGACCTCGTCAGACGGAGGATCTCCCGTTTGCTGCTTCTTTCATGAAACTGAACATTTTACTTTGACAGATAAAGAGACGAGCACGACTTTAACAAGTACAATATTTGCTGTAGGTACAAACGTGTGGCTGGGAGAATAAAGACTTTGGGTCACAGTTGAACTTTGCTTTGAAGGTTTTGTGATTGTTGCATTTATAAGGAAGCTGCATCCCTGCCATCCACTAGCCGGGCTGGAAATAACTGGCCCAGTCTGCTCAGAAAGTCCAGAATCCAACAAATGCACATTCAGTTCAAGTAAAAAATGTGCTGCTAGATGGGGATTGGTGAGGATGATGAAGACGTGCGGCCTATTTAAACAAGAAACCACAGCTGCAAAGGAAACCCATTTATAGACAAATAAAGATTTGAATTTGTTGTCTGCAGCTTCACTCTGAGCTAAAAATTACTTAACAGCTGTTACTGGTCAGTGTGTGTCCTGCGGGTCTTATCCCGGACCCCAGGCC